GCTAGTCTTAAACCGCTAAATAAAAAATTTACCAAACACTTTATTTATAACGGTTTCGAAATATGTAAAATTACCAAACACCTATATTTAGTGGTTTAAGTAAAACCGCTAACTGTTACTCCAAAACCGCTATACCAAATAAGGCCTTAAATTGAGAAGACCCTATGATATTGAGTCCTTCTCTCTCAATTTAAGAATCTTGATTTTACAATTTAATATAATTCAAGTTATAAAAACAAAGAACTCTAATAACATCATCTCAAAATTTCAAGGATTGGACTGAAAGTATTTTTTTTAGCCAAATTTAGGGTCTATTTGGTCACTCTAGATTTAGAAAAAGAATTGGGAGAAGCATACCAAAAATTGATATAGTTTGGCTTAGTAAATTAAAATTTTTAATTCGTAAATTGTGATACAATATAATTGATTATATTTATAATATAATTAATTATAAAAAAGAAATAAGTGATTATATTAATATAATTAATTTTTTTTAATAATCAATTATGTTACTTTTTTAGAAAAAAACTTGAAAGAAAACTATCTTGGGAAAGTAACAATATAATTGATTACTTTCCTTTTATAATTTATTATATTGGGCTTCAATTTGCATGTTAAAAATTTTATTTTTCTAAGCTAAGTTGTATTAATTTTTGGTTAGTTTGTCTAAATTCTTCTTTTAGGATCTAGTATAAATTGTATAATCAAATAGGCCGTTAAGATTTAAATTTTGAAACTAATATTTAAATAAATTAATAATTTTAAATGCACTAAGCTAATATGATAATGCGTCCTTAAATTCATATGAGAAATGATTAATCTTAAGATATATTAAAATTCACTTGAGAACACACTAAGGGTAACTACCATAAAAAATATAAAATAATACGTATCTCATGACCCAAAAAATATATATTATTTGATAGCATCACATAACATGAAAATTTTGTAAGTTAGCCTCTCAAAAAAAAGTACAGGAGTCTTCTTGAAAAACTTATTTTTTTTAATTAATATTTTGTAAAATTAAATATTAAATTAAAAATTTTATTCATATAAACTATTTATATTAATTTTTAAATTATTCTAATAGATTTAACCATTTTATTGATTATACAAAATTTAATACTGTTAAATATATATTAATAAATTATGTTTTTAATTAAAAAATTAAGAGTATTAAATCAATATAAAAATTAACATAGGTAATAAATATGAATAAAATTTTTAATTCAAGAATTAATTTATAAAAATATTTAATTAAAATATAAAATTTTAGACAAATTCTCCTCGATCAGAAAAAAGTAAGCAGGATGAACTGTTTATTGGTGTTTAGGTATATTTGGTTTAAATCTCACTTCTTGAGAAAACTATTGTTAGAAAAATTGTTAAGGAAATACTACAACAAAAGTTAACAACTATTACTAACAATCTAAGAAGTGTAGTTGTAGTCGTCTTTATGGTATTTTTGTAAAAATATAGATCATAAGTTATAATCATAGGTATAAGTGTGGAATAAATAAAAATTATGCAATCCATTCATCAAAATAATTAGAGACTGTTATACATAAATTCTGTAATAAAATTTTTTTGAGATTGTTGACATTTTTAATAATTTGTAAAAAATTAATAGTAAAAAAGTTAGAAGAAGGATATCAAATAAGTTTTACAAATACATATAGAAAGTTGACTAAAACAATTTTTATGCTCTCTTTTCCTAATTATCTATCCATATAACTAACCCTAACCATATATCTACATCTAACTTTTAAGTAATATTTTTGTATAACATATGGATAATAATTAAAAAAAATTTGTATCAATGAATACTTCTTGTGGAGTGATTTCATTTGATTAAAAAATTAATTGTTATTCATATGCTATACAAAGGTTGATTATAAAACAAAGTTCATATATTATAAAAAACATTACCTAAAGTTACATGCGAAGATGGTAAAAAATTAGTTATATCAACAAATAATTAGGAATGATAATTAGAAATGAGGGAGTAAGAAAAAAAAAAAGATTACTTAACAGATAATTGTGTAGGTAAAAGTAAAAACGAAAAATGTCAATTTTTCCTTTTACTTGTACAATATTTATGTGGGTAAAATCCCAGGAGGTTGCGGAAAAACAAATCGTTTTGATATTAAAAGTATCATAATATCCAATGACAACCAACCATAAGATGGATAGGACATAATATAAATCTAACTTAAATCTTATTTATAATATGATTGGAAGTAGACATTCTTACATTTTTAGGGTCAAAATGTCTTAATTTTCACTTTCCTAAAATCCTAAGGTAGAATGCCCAAATCCATTTCCAAAATTAGGTAGTAGGAACATATCTATCCTTAATAAAAAATGAGATAAATTCACTCACAACATTTTCAACTTAGACAAATCATCCCAAATGTAATGTATAATGTCATTTAATATCAACAATCCATTAATTTGAACACTATTAATAAGTTTATTATTAAAGAAATGTTAATATCAGATAACATTACACATTAAATTTGAGGTAGTTTGTCCAAGTAAAAAACATTATGGGTGAATTTGTTCTTGTTTTTTATTCAAGAGTGAATTCGTCCCTACTGATTAACTTTAGGGGTGAATTTGGACATTTTATCAAATCCTAAATACTCCTTAACTTCTCTAGGTAATGGGGGAAAGTTTTTCCATAAACCAAACACAAACCTGTGTTAACTGGAGAGCTTCCAATTTTCCATGGTAAGGGTTGTAGTATTTTAAGTTCTGAATATCATAGGTTTCCTTTTATAGAATTTCTTACGCAGAACAAAAGCAATTTCTAACATTCATGCCATTCCCTACTGGGAGAATAAATACAACTTACAAGAACTAAAACCATGAGAGATGGAGATTCAACTAAAGTTGTAATCTCCACATCCCCTTTTCTTATGTTATTGAGCACGGCTCTTATTGCTGAGTGGTTCAATTTCACCGATCAATTCGAGAAAGCAATCCTGCAAGCTGTTGCTGACTACTTACAAGAACTAAAACTATGAGACATGGAGATTCAACTAAAGTTGTAATCTCCACATCCCCTTTCCTATGTTATTGAGCACGGCTCTTATTTCTGAGTAGTTCAATTTCACAGATATGCATTCGGGAAAGCGATCCAACAGGCTGTTGTCGATCACCATTGCCTGTTTAAACAACTTCCTTTAAATCTTATTCATTCTTAGCATATCTTCGGCAAAAGGCTTTTACCCTCTTGAGGCCATCTTCGAGAGAAGAAGGCTCAACGGCGAAAGTAATACGAAGCCAGTTCTTCATTCCCACAGCTACCCCTGCAAGGCTTTGTGCTATTAGCATAAAACTGAAAGTCATCTTTGGCACTCACACTGTAGTAGGACACAATTAGTTCCGTTCCAAAGTAATCACCATGATTTGTCAAAATGATCAATTCATACAACAGTTACAAAAGAAAGGCACAAAAACATCAACCACAAAATATAAGAAGGTATTCTAAGGATATAAGAACATTAAGATTTTTATTAATAAACTGCAAAAGCTTTTCTGTTGAAATCAGATTGCTAAATTTTAGAAACTTTAGAAATTACCTGGTAAAACCATGACAGATTCCTCTCTAGCTAGCTTCACGCAGAAATCCACATCATCAGCAATGCCTTCCAACATTGATAGATTCAGCTTCACCTGTAATCAAACAGGAACACCTCTATCACTTTAACACAGAATATGGATAGTCAACAATCTAAATAGCTCAATAGTAATCTATCTCTATGGAAGTAAGAGATTATAAGTTCATGTTGCATGGCATGCAAGTGGAGTGAGTTAAGAGATGGGAGATTGTTGCCTCTCATTGTGCAATCCAAGATAAAAGAAAAAAAAGAAAAAAAAGAATATGGACTGTAATAATTCCCCTACCACTACAAACATGGATCCTTCTGGTTTGCTTGGGCAGCTTAAGCAAGGAATCTCCTTAATTCTATCATAGCATATATCTGCAGTCTCCCTTAATATGCCAATAATATTGTTAAAGAAATCCTCCTTTGTATTCTCAATGATTTGGGGAACTGCTCCCTAATGCACAAAACAAATTTACACATTATTAAGAGGAAGTGCACTGATATCTGGCCCTGAGAATACATCACAAAGTTTTCAGTGGAAATATATTCTCAGATATAATTATTTTGAATCACAAACCTGAATGAATGTTGGTGGATCAGAGCTAACATTGAGAAGGGTCGTAATTGATTTAACAACCTGATAAGAAGCAAGAACAATGAGACTGCATGGTCACCGTTATATCTTTGATATACATGCTTACTCTTTAATTAGAAGAGAATATATACTGCTGAGAAAATGTCTTAAACCAGAAATAGAATCTAAGAGAGAACACCAACCCCAGATTCTTTAAGGATTCCATTGGGATCACTTATGGCCAGCCACCCAAGTCGCCAACCAGGAACAACCCACCTCTTTGATATAGAGCCAAGGGTCAGAACAGGAACAATAGAGCCAAATACTCCCATTGGTACATATTTGGTGCTTCCAAATGAAAGATGGTCGTACACTTCATCCGCAATCACCAGAATTCCCAGTTTCCTTGCTGTCTCTGCAACCTAACATTCAGTAAATGAGTCATTTTCATTAAAAAAGCTATGGTTGAATGACAAGTAAGCTGTCCGTCAAAATTAATAGTCAAATCAAGACTCTTATCTGATCTCAGAAAAGACCAGAAAACATAAGCTGCCAGTCATTGTCTTAATATGTTACATAGGCACCAAATTGACTAACATAAGCATAGCCTTAGTCAAATGCAGGAATTATATGAAAGGAGTAGTTTAACTGACCTTCTTCAAATGCTCATAGCTGTAGACATTTCCACAGGGATTGCCTGGATTTATGATGACCATGGCGACAGTATTCTCATCTGCAAGAGCTTCAACACCATCAAAATCAACTTCCCAACCCTTTTCAGGAAGAAGATCGAAATGTCGAACTTCAAGACGGGAAAGAGCAGCACGAGCTTCATAGTAAGGAAAGCCTGGTCTAGGAAGCAAAATGTTGGTACCAGGACGGGCAAGGGCTGATAATGATATTTCTATTGCTTGGGTGCATCCCAGTGTTAGATTAACATCATCTGGCGACAACTTGTACGGAAGGTCACGACTAAGATAATCTGCTACAGCCCTATCATAGTTACACCAAACTAAATTAGCTCACCTTAACCGAATTCTACTGAATAGTAAATGTTTCATCAAGCAAGTATTCAAACAAATTTAAAAGACGTCTAAGAGAGTGATAAAATTTTACATCAAAACATAAAAGGAAATATAAGATGCCAACCTATTATCAATTAATTTTTGGCACACCTCAAATCAAAGAAAAAAAAAAGCAAAAACAGTTTCCTTTTCTGTTAAATAATTGGATTATCAGAGTCCTTTTCATATAAACCTTTTTACTTTTTCCGCAGAAAAGAAACAAAAATCTACTCAAAAACTATTCTTTGATCGAGTTGATTTTTTTTTTTCAGAAGTTTTGAATCACAAATTTATATAGAATTATCATAAAATATTTTACAAACGGACAAAAAGTATCAAATCTATTTAGAATCTTAATAGCAAAACAAAAATGCATTTTTCTTTTTGTTTATTGTTTAATAAATGTATTTCTTTCCACAAGGTCTTTGAATTTGTCTTCAAATCTTAGTATTTGATTTTAATTAATTAGAAGTTCGACTTTCACCTAAAATTTAAAAAAAATTCTCTATTCCCTAAAATTTCTCCATGTTCAAAATAACAAATAATAAATAAATAAATAAATAAATAAA